GGTTCATTTTGTGATATAATTCAATGATCACTTTAATTTTACAATTCAGTAATTAGAATATTTTAAAAAAATTGAAAAATTATAATAAAAATACAAATAACTAAATCACCTCATTTCACTACCAAAACTTTTGCCGATGAATAGTATTATCGTCGCTAAATGTTTAACTCTTTGCCTATGCCAACTTGTCGTTGCCAAAAGTAAGCACATTAATAACGACGCTTATTGCGTTGCTAAAAAATAAGCCTCGTAGCTAAAATTTATGAAATTTTGGCGCCAACCAATATTTTTGGCGCCTAGTCAATGTTATGTTTTTCTAGCGACGATAATAAATTGCGTTGGTAAAGGTCTACTTTTCCCAACGAAATTGAGCACTGTGTCGCCAAAAATATACTTTTGGCTACGAAAAATTGACGTTGTGGCCAAAAGTAGTTGCCAAAAGTGTAATTTCTTGTAGTGTATGCTGTCCTTTGTTTTTTGTGGATTACTATTGTTTGTATAGATAACTATTGTGAACATATTACAAATTACTTTTGGCATACCAAAAATATGCTTTTGGCTACGAAAAATTGACGTTGTGGCCAAAAGTAGTCGCCAAAAGTGTAATTTCTTGTAGTGATTGTTCTTGTTTATGTGATGAAGTTCACCAGAAAAAAAACTATACTGTTTTGTTTGGTTCCTTCGGGAAGGGAAGTTTATGGCAATTGAAGAATTTTTTAGATTACACATAGGTTCAGTCCTAAAACACCTTTTGGGGGCTTGAGGGGTTTGGACAGTTGCTCTCACTTTCTATGACCATGAAGAATGGTTCATATAATAACTTATCTATCATGAAATGACTTGTTCGTATGGTATTTGTGTTGATGCACTAGGACATTTGTTTGATCAGTACTTTGTTTGATGGGGTATTCTTGCCAATGAAGTACTCAATGGTGTTAAATTGATCAACAATGCTCTTTTGTCATTGTTTAGCCAATTATTTTATTAGCTTGATTAATTTATTATGTAAATTTTGTAAAGCAATTTGATTAATATTCCATTCATATTATTTTATACTTTGGATGATTTTACTATTTTGGGTGCAGTGTTTAAATGAGATCCTCACAACTGAGTCTTAGGATTGGCTGTTTCCAGAGAGGTGCTTTTTAATCTTTGAGAGGAATCGTTAAGTATAGTCTTATGTATTGCTTCTTTTTATGGGGGAAACTTAAGCTTTATTTGGAGTCCTACCTTTTCCTCAACTTTCTTGTTTTTGATTTCTTTGTGGTTGGTGACTTTATGTTGCATTCAGTTGAGATTTATGGGATTAACAAGTAACACCACTTGACATTATGAGGTCCATTGGGGAAAAGTAAATAATTGGCAACCCTTTGAAAGCTCTAGAGATCTTTAATTGAATTTAAAGAATATCATGAAAAGATCATTGTTCTTACAAACTTTTTTATTCTAATATTTCTTCTCCTTCTTGCAGCAAAGTACTTACATTTGTGCTTATTTATTTGTTATTTGGATTTTAAATTTTTTTGCTTTAACAGGTCTAGCTTTGTTAGTTGATGTTCCAAGGGACAAGAATATATTGATGTATATTTTTGCAGGCAGTATTGAGGGAGTAGTTGATATAATTGAGTGGCCGATATTGAGAGATAAATTGAGATTTTTTTTTTTTGAGTACTTGAATCTATTAGTATTTTGTATACATACTTTTAAGAATGGTTGATGGATATTTGTTTTGCAGGTATAGAAGTTTATATTTTGTATGTACAATTTTTTTTGTTTTTGAAGAAAGATAATTTTGTTGAGGGAAGTGATGGAAAATAATACATGAGCATTAGAATTTTTGCAAATATCACTTTACATTTATTGTATATAATATTTGAATATATATATATATATATATGAGAATATAGGTTGCTAAAACATTGTAGGCCTTTCTTAAAAAAAAATTTGTGACAGTAACAAGATGGTTGCTAATACATTGTAGGCATTTTTTTAAATTTTTTGTGAAAACATTAGTCGCATAAGTAAATTAGGCAGTCGAAAATAGTTTCCGACTACTATTTTGCTATCGCAAAAAGTATTTGCCACCCCCACATTCGAGACCCCATTTGTTGTTGCATGGGTCGTCACAAAAGGTCTTTTGAGACTGTATTTTTATTATTTGCGACGGATAATAACAGTCGCAAAAAGTGCTTTTTTTTAGTAGTGTTCTCAAAAGAATGCAACCATATGCAGCTAAATACTTTTTAATCATATATCAATTGATAAAAAAAAAAAATAAATTACTTTTGAATTTGGGTTGTGAATTTAGAAAAGTTGAAATATGCATTATACTTTGTAAAAGGTTTTATTCCAACCCAAGTTGTAGGAGTTCCTACAACCCAAATAATGTGGCACCCTAAGATTGGCTAAGAGATTATACATGTATTTAGAATCCTTATTATTTTAGGTAACGTATTTTTTTGGAATTAAATCATTATCTAAAAATATAAAATTTATTTTTGGTAAATTTTGGATGACCCACCTGAACTTTTTTCTTTCTTCTTCTTTTTTTTTTTTTTTTTTTTTCATAATCAAATTGCTCCACAATTGTGTTACATAATTAATGTCCATTGAAAATCTTCATACATTAAGCAACACTGCATGTTGTAGGAATGTAGAAAAAAATTCTCAAAAAAATAAAATAAAAATTTAAATGTGCTATTTTTGTTTCTATTTCTTATTTGTTTTTAGTAAAAAAAAAAAAATCAGATTTTTTAGAAAATATTTTAATGTGCATTACATCTATAACATTTTAAAATTTTGGTTAAAATATGAAAAAGTTACTGAAGACAAAATTAAAAAGGAAATAAAAAAAACTCAAAATTATTTTTAAAAAATAAAACCAAACATACTTATTTTTGTTAACAAAATTCTACAACACACAATATTCTGTCTGTAAGTTTTCAACCCTAATTGTAGAACAATTTAATTGTACAAAAAATAAACAAATAAAAATTAGTTGATAAGTTATCAAAAAATTGCCAATATCAAATTTTTTTTAAGATAAAAATTTAATTACAAAAAACATAAATAAGCTACCTAAGATGACTAGGATTCAAAATACAAGTTTTCTTGAATTGCATAATTTTTTAGCCAATCATAAAGTGCCACATTACTTAGAAAGTAAGAACTCCTACATCTTGGGTCAGAAAAAACCTTCTCCTTATATTAGTCTTTTTTGTATCAGGCATTATATTTTAGTCTCCTGATACTACTAGTGTCAAAATTAATTAGAAGCCCTCAAATTTTGTTAAATTTTTGGATTGAAGGCGGTAGCCTCTCTTGCCTTTTCTCAAGGCTGCCAGCATCTAGTACATATATTTGTTGGTGTTTTTAACATTAATGTTATTGTAAGAGTTGTGATTTATCAATTTTTTGCCAAATTTTTATTTTTTGCAAGTTGAAAACAGTACAAAGAAATAGACCAAATAGACCAGACTAAAAACAAATTACAATAAGACGTGCGTGGATAGTAGTAAATTCAATGAAGAGCTTTGAAGCTGAGGCCGCAAGCTGACTCACAACTACCTTAAAAACAGACCACGATTCCTATTAACCCAAATACACCATGCCGCAACACACAAGAAGCCGAAAGCATCCGAATCCAACGATTCCTAAACGGTAAGAAACCAACCAAATAAATCACCCTTGCCTTGCATGAACTTCCAATTCATCAAGCCCAAAACATGTGACCAAACATCAACGACCTGTGAAAATGATCAAAACATGTGAGTTCAATGTCTCTCTATCTTTACTAATTTTTTTCACTGTGTTTTTAAATTTTTGGGTAATTCTTGGAAAGTAGTTTGAATAGGCTGAGACAACTTTACCCAGCCGAAATTATAAAAAAAATTAAAAAGAAAGGGAAACTTACTATGTAGTCCTATGTAGGGGATGTATTTTCCTTCTAATCCCAATATATTTTTAATGGATTAATAGGTCCACAATTTTTTAAGTTTTATACCTAGATGTCCCGTTTTTTATTTTCTTATTTTGTAAATAATTGTATTACCCTTTGTTTTGAGATCTATATATATGTGAAAAATCAAATATTTGCTCCGTTCAAAAAAGAAAATCAAATCTTTGCCTTTGCGATTTCGATTTCTCTTCGTTATGGCGATCTCATTGTGCTGTGTGGTCGATCTCATTGTTCTGTGAGGTGGATCTGGTTGTGTGATCTGAATCTCTGTGTATAGGCGATCTCTGCGTACGTTCTCTCTCTCTCTCTCTCTCTCTCTCTCTCTCGCTCTCTTTCTCTCTCTCTCTGTGTATCTAGTTTGTATCTGTCGATACATATATGTATGTATATGTATGTGTGTATCTGTCAATACATACATATACATATATATGTCTCTGTGTGTGTATCTGGTTTGTATCTGCGTATGTATCTGTCGATACATATATGTATGTATATATAGATAAGCAAATTTGCGTGATATCTTATTTGTGTTTGGCAATGTTATTTTAGTTCTTTGTTTTGTAATAAATTTTGTTTGTTTGATACTTATTTTGTGATTTTTGTATGTGATATAGTGTAATGATTTTGATTTTGTTTGTTGTATAGTGTAATGTGTTTTGAAGTTGTGGTTTGGAATTAAGAATTCTGATGTTTTGATATTGATATGTTGTAACTGTATAATTTTGCAGTTTGGAATTGTGAATTGTGCAGTGTTCGTACTGATATGTTGTAACTGTATAATTTTGCAGTTTGGAATCTATGAACAATTGTTTGCTGGTTTGTAATTTTGTAGTATGGAGGGGTGTTTCATGTTAATATGCAAATACAGTAATTCTTGTACTGCTATTAAGATTAGTGAGGGATGTAGTTATCATGAAGTTGTTGAGAAATATCTACGAAGTTCAAGGAATCGAGTGTTGGTAACTTTTGTTTGTTTTTCTCTATTCCTGGATATTCTAATTGTATTGTTGAATGTGATGATGATTTGGGAAATATGCTGTCAATGGTAGGTTGTAGTGGTTCTCATGTTGTTGATGTTGTTGTGGGTGATAAGAGAATTGTAGAGGTTGATGATGATAATTCTTATAGGATTGATTATGTAATTTGTGAGAGTTCTTTGGTTAACAATTGTGATGATTTTGGTGGTTTGTTGCTTAGTTTTTATCCAGAACTAGAGAGAGTTTTGTTGTCTGCAAGTTAGAAGAGGATTATAAATAGTGTTGGTCAAGAATTTGAAGGTGGAATGCCGGTGTTCCGCATTGCATTGGCTAAGTATGCAGTTGAGTGTGGTTTTGCAGTGAATTATTTGAAGAACGATGCAACAAGAGTAACTGCTGAATGTATGATGAAGTTGTCTACGGGTTGTAAATGGTTTATGCATGGAAGGGTGTTGATGAATTTTGGTATTTTTTTTATAATGAAATTGGATAACGTGCATACTTGTGGGTTGTCACTCGTAGATCTTGTAGCAAAATGGTTAGTTCTAGACTTGTGTCTGATATTGTGCATAATGATATTAGTGATAATCCGTTGACTCGTCCTGTTGAAGTTAAAAAAAAGTTGAAGAAGTAATATGGTATAGGTGTTTCTTATCGGGTTGCATGGTTAAGATTGATAAGGCAAGAGGTGGGTTGTTTGGTGATTTTGCAACTTCTTTTGATCAATTTCGATGGTACCTTGAGACGGCTATGAGAACGAATCCAGGAAGTGTGTTTGAATTAGATGTGGATGAAAGTAGTGGGTGTTTTCGCAGGTTGTTTATGGCATTTCATGGATGTTTGTATGGCTTTCAATTTTGTTGTTCGTTGTTGTTTGTTGATGGTACATTCTTGAAGGGGCGTTACAAGGGGCATTTGCTTGCAGCAACATCAAAGGATGGTAATCAAGGTATGTATTTATTTGCAGTTAGTATAGGTTTGGTTTGCCAGTGTGTTATTGTATTGTGAGTCTGCTAATTTTTGTAGTTTCATGTTATTTTGTTTGCAGGTCTGTTTCTTTTGGCTTTTGCGATTGTTGACGCTGAAAATCAAGATAATTGGATGTGGTTCTTAAGTCAGTTGTTAAAGGCTGTTGGTTCAGGCCAGAGATTGACCTTTGTGTCTGACCGTCAACATGGATTGCTAAACGCTCTTTCAGTGGTTTTTCCCAATGCACATCATGCATTTTGCTTGAATCATTTGAAGAGAAATTTGATTGACAAATTGGTGGGACTTTGTACTAAATATAAGCTGAGTTTGATGAAAATATTAGTTAAATGTGCTTATACGCCAACTGTTGCTTCTTTCCAACATTATATGGAGAAATTGAGGTGTATTGCTGGAAATGGTAGAGTTGATAGTATGTTGGATGGTTTGCAAAATGATAAGTGGGCCCATGTATTTTTTAGAGGGAAACGATATGGTGAGATGTCATCTAATGCTGCCGAATCTTATAATAATTGGATTGGTGGGGCCGTGAGTTGGTTATTACTTGTATGGTTGATATGATTAGGGTTCAAATCATGACTCAATTGTCGGATAGAAGAGCTGAATCTAGAAGATGGACTACGAAATTGTGTCCAGTTATGAAAAAGAAGTTGGTGGACTCTTTGAAGCTAGCTAAGTCTTGGGATGTGATTGTTGCTAGTGATACTCAATAAAGAAAACATATTGTAACTCAATAAAGAAACCATTGACACTCAATAAAGAAAACATATTGTAACTCAATAAAGAAACCATTGACACTCAATAAAGAAAACATATTGTAACTCAATAAAGAAACCATTGACACTCAATAAAGAAAACATATTGTAACTCAATAAAGAAACCATTGACACTCAATAAAGAAAACATATTGTAACTCAATAAAGAAACCATTGACACTCTAAAGAGACAACTCATTTAGGTGCATTAACACTAGCCACCGAATTCAACGACCCTCAAAACCCTATAATATTTTTCACAAACCCCAATTAGTATATCAAAACCACAAAAATAAAATAGAAAATATAAATAATTCATTTAGCAATTGATTGTTGGTTCATAAAAAGCCAGAGAATTTAGTAAAAAGACTTGTTCATACATTCAACAATGAAAAATAATCAACAATTAAATGCACACCTAGTAATATCTATCATGTACAAATTAATATGTGCCTTCTCAACAAACTTGGAGAAAGTGAGTACAATATGTGAGAGAGAAAAGGTTCCATCTAGGAGGTCAATAACCAATTCCAACTATTTCTAGCCTTAAAAAAAAATATTGGATCAAACTCATCAAGATGAAGAATAATTAAAAAGGAATACGAATGACAGTTGAAAGAAAAAAGAAGTTATTGAAAAAAAAATTCTGCAAGGTTCCATGAGAATCAACAAAGTTGCCATTTTTGTAACATCTGTGACAAGAAACTTCACGTCTTTTACCGAAGAAAAAAACTACTTGAGCAAAGGGCATAATTCATACAAATATAGATCACACTAAAACTATTAAGCATAACAAACATTTTGTATCGACCAGTATATGTATCTGCCGATATTCAAAATCATGATCCAAGCTACGATGAATCAAAATAAATCATAAAAAAACAACACACACAAGAAAAAGAAGATAATTCCTTACTTCTCCTCCAACAGCTTCTAAACGGAAATTGTCTGAACAGGAAACATTAGCATCAAGCACGTCAAGGCCCAGCTCTTCAAAGGCTTTCAGTATGGTGACAAGCAACCCAGGACATTTTTTTTTTTTCTGAAAACACATTAATTAGGAAACCCTTTTCTAAGGTTTCCACAGTAACTTGCTGAAATATAATAAATGAAAAAAAAAAGTTACTAATTTTCATGATTTTATACATGATATTAAAGAAAGGATAGCACAGTTGTTTTTAAAAATATGTACCATTGGCAATGAGTTTTGTCTATTTGAACTTTGTGAACTTGCAACATCTTGGCTTAGCCTCTCTACTTTTCCCTTCAGCTCCTCTATATACTTGGATGCATCTACTATGATTGAGGTCTTATTTACCTATCAAACACAAATTTATATGTCAAAAAGGGTTTTTTGAAAGAAAAAAAAAAAAAGAAGAAAATTTTGTTTGAATTTCGACTCATCATTTTAATTCTAATTACAATAACAACCAATGCCTAATACTAAAAACTCCGGCATCAAATTTAAATGGAAGAGAAATTAGGATTTCGAGTCATCATTTTAATTCTCCTCAATAATCACAATATCAAAAGACGCCTCTTTCTACAAACTCCCACAACAAATTCATATATACTTCCACTCCCGCACCTGCATATATTGCAGTGACCAACCCAGAACCTCCCCTATTTTCCGTACGTGCGGCCTCATCTCCTGCACGTGTGGCCCCAACCCCGCACATGCGGCCCAAGGCCCCCACACGTGCAGCTTAGCCCTTAGCCCAGAAAATTCTCCAGCTCAAGTGTAAACCCCGGACTCAACTTCAAGCCTCCTGAAACAAGTGGAACTCAAAATTAAAATTAGTAGAGACGAAAATTTTGAGAAATAGATTTCAAAGGTGTTAAACCCAAGCGCACAAAAGAAAAGTAAGACGGGTTACGTACCTGGTCATCACATTGGTGATGTCAAATCTTAGAATTTTTTTATGTAAATTTCTTATGAGAGTTGTTTAGGTGTGCAACCCAATTATCTGCCCTTAGATTACAAACAATTAATCAAGACCATTGAATTGTTTAATGGTAGAAAATGGGAAACTTGAGCAACCGGTTAACTCTCTCTCCTCTTATTTTCCTCTCACTCCCCCACATCCACAAGGATTATGCTTCTTTTTCTCTTTTTTCGTCTCTCACTCATTCTCTTCCTCCTCTGCTGCTCTCACTATCTTTGTGTAATCCTTAATTTCCTGCAATAACTAGTATCCTCTGTTGAGTTCCAGCCACAACGGGACTAAAGCCTCTATTGGCTTCCATTGTTGAAGTGAAGGTGTTCTCTCCAACCAGATAGATATCAGGTATATAAGGACCTCTCTCTCTCTCTTTGCCCTCTTCACTTCAATGATTTCCCTCTACCAAAGGCTCATTCATTCTAACTCCAACCCCTCTACCACTTCCAAAACTCAAAATCCCTCCATCTGCAACAATAACCCCTCATCTTTCTCTCTCTCAAATCGATTTATGAGAAGCCAATCTGTTTCTCTCTTAATCGATTTTTGGCATGCACCGGCTTTATGTTTTTTTCATGATTGATCAATTTCTCCATCTTTTTCACACTTCTAAAATCAATTCTATTTCTGCTCCTTGTAGTCATAGTTTCATTTTCCAAGTTAATTGTAGAATATGTGGTGTGCTTTAATAATTCAAAACATACACATGCACACTTGCATTGCATAGTTGGTTTGTTAACCCAACTCTACACAACTCAACAAACAAATTGAAAGATAGGTAACGGTCATAAAGGAAAGAAGCTCTTCATATGAAAAAAAAAACCCAACTAATAATAGAGACCAACCAAAATACTCTTGTTTATCATCTTCCCAGAAGCAGTAGGTATGGTCTTAAACTATGCCTATACTTTGATATAAAAATCAAGCAACATGATAAACACTATCAAATGTAGAACAAGGCTAATAGTTTAAAAAGACAAGTTCAAATAATCAAATGAAAATAGCAGTATTGTAATACAACAAAATGCACTCACAGATGTCCTATAGATTTCTACACACAGGCAACTAGACAGGCATTGCACTAACCAAAAGAGTAACTACTTGGGGGGCCAACTACACAAATTCTTTCGACAGTTTAGCTCAATGTGCCCATACCATTCATTAAATCATTGCCTATTACCTTTTCTAAAAGTCCAAATGCAAATTTCTATTGGATTTCCTATAGTCTATATCGACCCATCCTTTCCAGAGTATATGCAACCTCAATTTGAAATTAACATAAATAAATAAAGAAAATGTGCTTTCTTGCTAGTTTCCTATGGCAGATTTGGAAGCAATAAGAAGGCCAAAACATTGTGGTCTTGCATTATCTTTGCTATCTTTTGGACCATTTGGTTGGAAAGAATGGATAGAATTTTTAATGAAAAGGAATCTGAAGTTGATGCTTTGTTGGACAAGGTGAGGCATCTCACATCAGTTTGGGCCTATGTGTCTCCCTCTTTCAAGGGCATACCCTTTTTTCGATTACTAGGGATTGGCCTGTTGTTTGTTAGACATAGGTGGTTTATTTTATGTTTTAGTTGATGCTTCTTAGGTTTTTGTATAGATCTCTCAACTTTGTACAAGGGCATTTTGTCCACCCCTTGTTTTCATCTTTTAGTTTAATAATATTGTTTTGTTACTTTTAAAAAAAAAAAAAAAAGAGGACAAAAAAAGAAGAAAAAAAAAGTGATTTGTAAGTAATTTTTGAAACATCTATGACCTAACTTTTTAGTTTTAGTAAGATAATGTATAGGATACAACTCCAAATCAATTCAATCTCCAAATTTGTTTCACTGTTTCCATACTTGTTCATATTATTCAACAACCACATAATAGAAAAAGAATCAAATTCTCATAGCCCTCAATATATCTGGGGACTACTAGAAATTATTTATAAAAAAACAAATTCATAATTAAAATTGGAACAAGAATGATTTTTCTTTTTAATAATTAAAGGACACACGCAACTAAAAAGAGTAGGAATATATCGCCACGACAAGGTTAACATGGTTCCTGAAAAATAGAATCAAGAGTATTCTCAGCAATCTTAAACCACATGTAACTAATCCATTAGGCTTCTATCAGAATTCCTTGTGAAGAAAAACAAGAAAAATAAACTTCTAATATCTTTGATTAGGGAAAAAACTAACAAACAAAAATCTTAAAGGTTATAGCACATCCATCAGTTGACATATATACTTAATGTGGGAATTGAAAATATCCTAAGACATCTAGGTTGTATAATACATTCATTAATTGCACCACATGCACACATGAATGGATTTGTTGAATAATAATCTAGTTAACAAACACTTGGACTAAGTTTCCAATGTAAAAAGACAAACACTAAAAAAAAAATCTAATAATAAGCAAAAAATGATACCCCAACTATGTAGGTCGCATTACCTTAATAAACAGACTAAAGTTTGAATCTCCCTACCTTACCTAACACAAACATGACAAAGGAAAAGAAAATACTATCAAAACATTTTATAAAAAATTAAAAAAAAAAGAAAGAAAAAGAAAAAGAAAAAAATGAAGCAAGAAGAGAATACAGACAGAGGACAATATTTCATTCAACACGAAACTCAAGCTGCTATCCAGCTCAATTTCCCCAAGGTTTAGCTTGGAAAGCAAAGAGCATGCAGGTCAGGCCTCCAACAAGGAAACACACAGGCACTATAGCACTTGTTAATCTATCCTAATAGATGTACTTATCAAAAAATTAAATAAAATTGAATTTCATGAAGGCAGTGTCATCTTACTAAGTGAACAACCTCAACCTCATCATAGAGCACAGTCAATGCTAGAAACTATCTAGTTGTGCTAGATACAGTTTAATTTATGAATGCAATTTTACCTTTCATATGGACTAATAAAAATTCATAAAAATTTAAATTGAATTGCCTATTTACCATTGCTCCACGTGCATTGAATAATTTCTCCAATTTACCAACTGAATGAAAATCAAAATCATGTTACATAGACAATTTAATCAATTAAAAATATAATAAGTTAACTACAATGGATACAGAAATAATCCCAATCCCAAACCTAAATTTTTCAACCCTTATTTTTCAATTGAAACCCAAGGCCATGAAACAAATATGACACTCAAACTGTAAATAGGCAAGAGACGAGATAAAATATAGAAAACAAAAATTAAAAAAAGAACAAGTAAGACAGTAACCAACTAGGCAAAGAATCCATTATTAGATATGATGTATCAAATTCTACCAACAAATTTCACCCAATATATCTTATAATCAAGTTGTGCAATACAATTTGATTCATGGAATTGCCTATTTATCGAGAAATGGGGCTTTAGGGATTTCAAGCCATACCTCTTCAATGAGAACTCTTTTGAACCAATAAGCTACTTGAGAAGACAGAGATCTTCAAGAAGCCTTCGAAAGCAAGAGATAAGAGTAAGAGATGATAACAAGCAAGAGAATTGACAGACAAATCAGAGAGAGAGAGAGAAAGAGAGAGAAACCATAGATTCGGAGCAAGGGGGAGAAAATTTTAGGGATTTTAGAGCCATACCTCTTCAATCCTTGCAGAGCCTGCGACTTCGATCTCCATTTGTGGAAGACGGCTAGAGAAGAGAGAGAGGGGAGTCCTGTTTAGCCAAACCACACACACACACACACACACAGGGGGGTGACTGATGAAAGTAGAGAGAATGGCTAGGAAAGTTTTAACAGGTTTAGCAGGTAAATGGTATAAACTGTATAAAATATTGAAGGGTTTAGATTAATTTGATCAAAATCTAAGGACTGAGAATTAACTTGAATATGGTATGCAAGTTTTAAGCCTTGCACACTACAACACTTTAATAAGATAAATTACAAACATACCTCCTGACATTTGTTAAAATAACAAATTTTTTCATTAGGTTTGAGAAATTGCATCCCACCATTTGATATAACTACTAATTATTAATAAATAAAACAACTAGGAGCCTCCAAGTTCAACCAAATTCCAAATTATGAAAATAGTAATCTGACTGTCTCTAGTGTTTTGAAAGCGAACTACGCAGTTCAGGCGAGTTTGACCCTATGAGCCAACTGTAAGACTTATTTGGATAATTTCATTTTTTAATATTCTATTCTAAACCCTTATATGTAAATCATCAATGACAAGACTAACATTCATTCAACAACCGCTATTATCATGGAGTAATACTACGAACCCACCTTATCAACTCATAAATTATTTAGAATTATTACTTTATGGTTACAATTTATTTCAAATATAAACCTTATATTACATAAATTTAATCTCCACTACACAATCGTTAATCTCAAAAATTCTAGGTTGATAAATTTGGAATCACTTATCTGTTATAATATCAATTACAAGACTCATACTGATATAATAACTGAAATTAGAAGTGTCAACATATTTATTTACAAAAATATTAAATGATAAATATAAGGAAGAATTATAATTTAGTGTATTTTTTCAAAAAAAAAAAAACATTCAAATCATTGATAAAGTTTACAAATATTAATAATTAAATTCATAAATTTTTTTACTAATTTGTAATTTTTTTATAAAAATTTCACTGATGTGTAATTTTTCATAAATATAATTTGGAGATTTTTCAAAAATATATATATATATGGTTAAAATTATCTATTTGATTTATTTTTTATTATCTTTATGAATAATTTTATGTAGTATAGTGATCCCGGTTTTACCCCGACCTTTATTGTGTTCAGGACTCGGGTTCCGTGTTTGTATGTTGTTCTCTATGTCGTGTTTCCTTCCTTTAACTCTTTGTATTTGAGTTTTGGAATTTGTTGGGCATGTTTGGAACAGGTTGGTTGCTAGTTGGTCTAGAGTGTTCCTGCCCAGATTTTAGTCTCTTCGCTCAAGCGAGACTTCTTGCGCTCGAGCGAGCCTTGGGTAACTTGCTTCTTCGCTCGAGCGAGGTTTCTTGCACTCGATCGAGAATTGAGAGTCCTCAGGTTTCTTTCCCAAATGCAACTTTTCTAGGAAGGTGGAGTGATTCGCTCGAGCGAGACTTTTGCGCTCAAGTGAGCCTTGCAAAATTGTTTCTCCGCTTGAGCGAGATTTCTCATGCTCGAGCATACGTGCGTGTCTATGGCAGACCTGAAGCTTTGCATTTTGTGCTTGAGTGACGTTTCTTCTGCTCGAGCGAGGTCACTTGTTGTGTTTGGTCGCTCGAGCGACAACTCCTTTACTCAAGCGAGCCTCACATATATCAGTTTGCAGCAGAGAGTTTTTACATCACTTTTAATTTCATCTCATCTCCAAACCCTAATCTAGCACCTCCTCTCTCTAAAACTCTCTCTCTCTCTACAAATCTTCCATGATCTAGGGTCTTTCTACCCTGCTCCCTTTGTTAAAGAGTTAGAGTTTTGCGTGGGCTTTCATTTGATCCCAAAAAGGTGGAGTTTGGTCATCTTCAAAGTTTCTTCCTTCTTCTCCTTTGAACTCTATACTTGAGGTAGGGATATTCTACTCCTTAATATGAGTTTTAGCCTAGGTAGTTGTCATTTTGTATGAATAAAGGGATTTGGGAGTGATTTGGGTAAAGTTAAGGTTTGGGCTCTAAACAAAAGAGGGGTTTTCTTTTCCCAATTCCATGAATTACTTATACAAATTAATTCAATAATACAACTAGGGTTTTTCCCACCGGGGTCGCTATAGGATGGACTCCATTGAGAATTAAGTTGGCCAGAGTGTCCAGGGTGAAAGTCCCGAAATCTTATATATATTTGTGGGTGCCGGTTCCCTTGGATGTGATTCCGTAAAATGGCAAGAAATAGAAGTGTTAGATTGATGAATGTATTGAATTGTGAACCTTTGAGTTGTAGTCTCATTTTGGTTATTTTGATAATAATGAATTTGGTTAATAGATTTACCCAAAATGGATGAATGGAAATGAATTGAGGTATTGGTTATCTATATTGAATGGCCTTGGACAGAATACGTCTTGGTTAAGGATATTACAGATTTATCTGATGCTTATATCTTAGTTAAATCTCATATGTTGTTTTAGCATATCTCTACTGGGTTTTGGCTTACCCTACTTGGGAAACCATTTTCAGGTACATGTGACATGCTACCTCCAAGGACATAGCGTGGGAGGTTTAGGGGCTGAAGGCTCTGTTTTGCTATTACGTTTTGTGTTTATCTGTTTTCTTTTTAAGCTGAAGGCTTTAATTGTAAAGAGCTTATGACTTTCTTTGTTGTAACCAAGTTATCTCTTGAAAATATGTAAACTCGTAGGGGATTTATAGTGTTGATATTGACTAGTGTTACATGCTATAGTTTCATGATGAACATTTATGAAAGTGTAATGCATGTAATATCTTTTGTAATATAGATTCTGATGAATGAAAATATAACTTTTGTATCACGTGTATAGATCGTACGAATGATTGATTTATGTCATGTTTTGAGGGCGTTACATGTAGAGAATTATAAAAATGGCTTGATTAAATTATAAAAATGATACATGTAATGTAATGGGCCCACAAAACTAAACTGGACAATTAATTGCATAGTGTTCCCATGAAAATATAAAGGATAAATTATACTGACTTTGTCTAAGATATTGAGAAAGGGCATTGCTGAAGTCACAAAAACTAATAAAAATAGTTTGAAATCACAATAATAAATAAAGAAAATTATGAGTTCCGATTTATTAAAGTTTGAGAGTCCGTTTGTTTTGGGTTATAGGAGATGTGATTGAATTATGATGGATGTATGGTCTACTAATATTATATTTATTTACAAAATGAGAAAAGAGATTCACAATACATTGGGACTATAATAGGCCTCCATGAATGGAATTAGTAGTCTCCCATAGGGAAAATTTTATTTTCGCACACTTAATTAGCTCAGGGCACATACTTAATAAAATATTAATTTAATGACAATTATATCCTAAAACAAAATGACGATAATAGACATCTAACAATATTCATAATATTATATGAAAAAATTCTCTGTACATATCTTTTAAGAACAAATAATCATACATAATAATGAAACCCACTAATTTAGATTCAATAAATCCAAATAAACTAATTCAATTCAATTAATTTTTAAATCTATTTAATTTATATATATATATATACATGAGCAATTCTTCCATGTCCAAGACACCCATTGCCCCTGTGCAAGCACTCAAAAGGCTAGTTAGCGTAAACTCATTCCGTTTCGCAATTGAATTTCTCATTTGATAGTAGAGTTCCAAACACAAATCAATCTTTCACTCTTATGCAAACCCAGTAATCATTGTTGTCCATAAGACCACATTTCTCACAGGTATTTCAACGAACAATTGATATGCACTACCTAACTCATTGCATTTGCAGTAAAAACTTATCGAAGAACTCCCAATATAGAACATTGGTGAAAACCCCAGTTTTAATTGCCAAACAATGAACTTGAATTTCAAAAAGACAATGTTTGGACACCCATAAGCACTCAAAGCGAGAGACAGAACAATGAGGTTGGCTCTCAATTCTTTCATGTTCAGTCTAAACAGCATCGAAATAGGACCCTCCTTTGAGTTCGAATCAATGGGTTCATGTGAATTTGTTCGCAAAATGTCTTGAATAAGACGAAGATGGATTTGGCGACCACCGTGAATAACACTTGGTTCAGACCCATCAGTCAATCTTCCCTCAAAAGGTTACGATTTTTCTAGTGCAAAGAGACCAAAGTACCAGCAAGAGGAAAAGCCTTGATTTCAACAGATCTAAGCATAGCAATTTATAAGTTTTTATTTTGAATCGTGGGTTATCGTCAATGGTTTTCAATAGAGGTCTTCGATGCAAGTCTTCAATGGAGCAAATTTCACTTCTGGCTAAAGTCTTTTAGGTGTGGGGGTCTACAAATGTGAAAGTAAGGTTAATCAAAAGTGTGTGGAAATGAAGGTTAGTAGTGTGTGTACAATGGTTAAGAGTGAATGGTATAAATGTAATTTTAAGTGTGTGAATTGAGAAAATTAATTAATAATCAAATTAATAGGTCTGTGTATTAAGAAAAGATGTGCCATGAGCTAATTAGGTACGTGGAAATAGAATTTCCCCTCCCATAGGAGATGGTATTAGAAAAACAATTCCTTGGGATTAGAGGTGGATTTACTATTTTGCTCTCTATTATTCTACCCAATTTATTCACTCAACTTGATTAGTATGATCTTTTCTCTTATCATTTTTTTAAATTATTTCATCATTTTTTACTCCACTATCCTTTATGTCAAAATAATTTAACATAAAAATATAATTGTATAATAATATTTAAAAGAAATTATATTAAAAAAATAAAATAGTACCAAAAAATATATATTTATGAAATATAATTTTAATATTTATAAAATATTTTTTTTAATATTAAAATATGTAATGCATTTATTAGTTTGTATAAGTCCAAATTCGATAGTAATGCAACAAATGTATTTGTGTAATTTTACATCCTTAAGTCCACTCATATCTCTCAAAATAAACATGAACTATTATTAATTCACTGATTATCAAACAAACACAATTTTTTTTAGTCCCCTCACTAAAGTT